CAAAATAAAATGAATTTCAAGCGTCGTTTCGTAACTGTTGATGAAACTTGAATCCACCACTATACATCAGAGCGAAAAGAACTTTCCGGAATCACATCACTTTAATGATGGTATTGAATTATTCGAAAAAATGTTGGAATAAATGTATTAAAGTTTCAGGAGATTATATTGAAAAATGAAACATATTTCACGGCAAAAAAATTTCTTTCATCGTTAAGCCGAGAACTTTTCAGACTGCCCTCGTATTTGCAACGACATATGTCCGATGAGCTCGATCGACATCGCTCCTCTCGTATGGTCTCTTCCGGCTTCCGGCATACTGGGAAAATAACTGGGAGAATGTAGAAGATTTGATTTATTTATTCAATCCATTTATTTCTATATACTTTCTAAACAATTTTTGAGTTATTTTCTATTCGATAAACAAGCAACCAATGCGCCATCGTGCACCATTTGTAACAATGTGGTGCCTGGATCGCATTTTTCGTTTGCATAAAGAGGCGCGTACGGATTTTGAGCGATTTTCGTCCCTTGTCGTCGTTGCACGATCCATCGCACGTAAGCTTGGCCGAGCGTACGATCGAATTCACTTGCGTTCATCGCGTACTCGCGAGCTACCGCTTCGGTCGACTCGCTTTTGCCCTACGACCAATTGTAAAAAATACGTGGCAAAGCGTCGAACTACCTTGTAATAATTTATTTCATCCGCTCGTGGATCAAAGTCTCGAGCGAGCACGAAACGAGTGCAAAGGTAGTCTTGTTCGGTCGCAACATTCTGCCTCGTCAGAGGCATACCCACCGAACGCGTTCACCGATATTATAACCGTATTTTTTTAGCGTATCTTGAATAAATGTGGCCTCTGCGTTCGATACGGTGCGCGGATTCAATGCCAAGTTGAACGAAAAAGACTCGCCACCGTGAAGGTTCGCATATTCGTGCAACGCGTCGTACATAGCCTCAAAGAACCGTGTCGACTCGGCGACGATCAATCGATGCGCTTTCAATATATTCGGTTCGTAGGACTCAAGCGCCAACCACGTGGCTGTAACGTTCAGTTCCAGCGAACGCACGATATGTTTGACGAACGGCTGCGCGTTTTTTTCGAAGCCCTTTGTTATCGCACGAAAACTGGTGGCGTTGTTACCTCTCATCCATTTCCAGTACTTTTTGCCCATGATGGAACATGCTTCGACGGCGAAATCATCAAGTCTACAGAAATATATGTTCGACCGTAACGACGAAGGGTGTCGTTTATCAGTGCGACGAGCCATCGTTCGCAGCACGATTACTCGTTTGGACAAGGGACGCTTTTCACCACTTTCGCGATCTGTTAGTTCTAAATATACGATGAGTCCATCCGTGTCACGATACACTACATGGCACGATACGACATAACGCTCAATCGACCGTATCGCTTCACTGTCCCGAATATGGTCAACGTGTAATACCTCATCTACCGATATGCTCTTTGGCTCTTTTTTTTCATCCGCAGCTAGACTGCTGTCCTGTTGCTCGTCGTCGTCGTCGTCGTCGTCGTCGTTATCGTCGTCATTGTTACCTGCTAGGACGCTCAGAATCCTAGCAGCAACGGCGGACGATTCGTTCTCCGTTCTCGTCAAGAGTACAGGAAATGCTCGTTCACACAGCCATGACGTTTCGTGAAACGTCTTCCGCGAAAGCAGCGTAATGGCCGCGGCGACCGAGGGCGAATAGACCGCGCTTCTAGCGTAATTCAAGTATCCGTACAAACTATTAGCTACCACTTTGTACATTTTTTCCATACAGGTCGCCACTCTTCGTCGAACTGGATCTAAATCGGAACTAAATTTCAGTTGCGTCTTGTAGACTTTTCGTTGCGCCAGATAATAACACCACAGACCACATATCACTGGCTCAGAATTGCCGCTGCCGCTGCCGTGCTCAGAATTGTTGCTGCTAACTTGATACATCAGCATAACGCGTCTTTCATTTGGATTTACGCTCGTATCGAGCAGCTCGCGAGAACCGCGAAACTCTGCTCCTTCGTACTAACCGTTTTCAGTATCGCGCAACACTGCGGCCGCGAGGCTGTCTCTTCCGCACATGCGGATCCCTTTTCGCCGCGCGTTCGAATCAATGAGCTCGTAATCGAAACATCGCAGTATTCCCGCAGCTACGAGTTCATCGAGAACGGCATCATCGCGGTCAACCAAATCGCGCACTTGGTTCACCGTCAAAAGACGAGCGGTCTCCATTGACAACTTGAACTTGCAGCCGATGGAGGGATAGAACGAAGAGAAATCCACTCCTATGGGGCGACGATAGTGCCCGGCGAGCGTAGAATTTATTCCTCCGATGTACACGCGGCTCCCGATCCGCACGAGGTCTAATTCGTCCGTCACGGAGTAATCGCCGACCTGCCAACGCTGACGCAATACGCGCGGCCCGTCGACCCCCTCATTTTCATCGATGTCGCCATCGAATTTGCGAGTCGTCATCACCTGCGGCACAGTGTATTGGTACAATTTTGGTGTATAGTACAATTTTCGAATGGCTACCGAGTCAAAGTTCATCTTCAGTTGGCGCGAACGTTCATTGGTGCCGCGTTCTGCCGCATCGGACGCACCAAAGAAGCGCGCTACGTACGCCAGAGCGATCGAGCCCACTTGAGCTTGGTGTCTGGATTTTACATGCATCATGAGATCGAAGCTAATTTGCGTTTTGCAGAAACGCGGTTCGCTGCGCAAATGTAGCATGTGTACCGCATGCTCGTACAGTCTGTAAAAGATCAATCTGCACCAGAGAAAGGCATAATCGTACTCCTGTAACGGTCGCGCCTCTAGGCTCGGTTTTTTTCCGGGTTGATCCGACCCTGTGGATTGGATCGTTGGTTGCGAGCCGACCACAGGAAAGATTTTTAGGTGAAGGTGTGTGTGTGGTGTGTGCGTGTCAATAAGAGAAGACAAAACAAGTATAACACAATATGCCTTTATTTGCCCGTCACGACCGCGTGCCGTGACGCGACGTCCCAATGTTTGGGTGTTAGGTGATTGCGCGAATTGTTTCCGCGGACGCTACGAGCCCCGCGGAGTCACAGTGGTAGGTGAGCGATTTGCTTGAGGCGTATTTATGTAATTATCTCGGACGGCGCTTGACTCGCACAGACGATGAGGGTCGAGCCACCGATTAGTGATCGCGCGGTGTGCGCCCCGAGCCTATAATATGCGCGGTGGGTGTTTTCGCCGTGAGTTAAAGCGCGAGTTTGGGTGATTCGGCACGCGACTTGACGATGGGTCGCAAAAAAAACGGTACAAGAACGCGTCGCGACACGTCGCGCTCGCTTTTGTCCTCGGCCGCAGTGTCGAGCGCCCTGGTGGTAGAGGGGTGCGGGCGACGGGAGTATTCCTCGCGTGCTGGGCCGACGCACCAAATCCCAGCTGATCAGCTCTTGCCTTCCCGGTGTCCTATTTGATGAAATTAAGAAAAAGATAACGTGAGATCGTTCCGGAGAACGCACCGGAGTGACGGCAAACTCGCCGCGCGATCTCACTATCGCAAAGAACCGGCACAGAATAAGATCGTTCCGGTGAACACACCGGAGCGACGGCAAACTCGCCGTCCGATCCCTATATCGCAAAGAACAGGTATTATTAATCACCGTCGTGGACGGCCTGGTAACTAACTTACGAATTTCGGCAGGAGCTTCTCGGTTGATCCTCTCTCGGAAAGAACTATCTGCGGAGACGGAACTCTGGAGACTTCCCCTTCGTCAAAATCTGCCGGGATTATATACCCGAGATTTTGGGGCTTCGGTTTTCTTCGCCCTTAATCGGAGTTAATTCCGTTTTTTAATCGGAATTAATCGTGATTATGCGGCGTCTGCCGAAGATAACTTCGGCGGTGCCGCTAGCTAGGTTCGGCGGCCGACCGTGCCCGAGCGTCGTTGCCTGGTAGTCGGGCATGTTCGGCCGAGCGCGATGCCTAGGCGCGGTGTCAGCGCGGGTCGGGGGGTGTTGCGCTCAGCTGATTGCCGCGTGCTGTTAGGCGGCAGTCAGCGTAACGGCGCAAAGATTTTTGTGTCGTTACATCACCCCCCCTTTTTTTCCTCGTTTTCCCCTTTCTTGCGTGTAGCTTTTTTTAACCGGGGATACGGTTGGCGGCACGCAACTGCCCGTTGCGTGTGAACCGCAGGCTCCATCGTCCGGTCAGCGTCTGTAGACGGTATTTCCGGGAAACTTTGACGGAAAAATATGGCACGTGCCATATTTCTCCGGTCGGCAGCAAGATGGGCACTGGCGGCGGTAGTGCGGGGCCTTGCACTGGCGGCTGGATGGTAGGCTGCACCCTGGCTTGCGGTGGCGGGGTGTCTCGGATGAGTCGCAGGTTGCCCCTGAACGGCACGTTACTCTTGATTACCGGTCCCGGCTGGATGTTGCTCGGAGTTTGCGGCTCGTCCTCGACCAGTAGTGGCATGTCGCGAGGTGGCGGCGCTGGGGCCGTCGAGGAATCCTCCCCCTGCTCGTCGAGCGTAATGACCGGAATGGTCCGCCTGGTGGTCGTGGTGGATACGGCGACGGAAGGGGGGGCTCCGTGCTGGGCCTCGATCTCGCGCCTCCGTGCCACGGGTGGCGCTGGGCGAATCTGGGGCCCTTTCCTTGGCCGGCCGATTCGGCGTCCGAGCTTTGGCAGTGCGGGTACCTGCCAACTCCCCTTTTTCCGCGCGGTCGGTTCCTTGACCTCCCTCTGGAGGCTAGGACCGGGCTTGGATGTTATTAGTGCCAGCGGCGGTGCTTCGGTCGTCGAGACACGGATGACCGTCGGCGGAGCCGCCTCGGGTGCTGGAAGCGTTGGCGGTGGTTCTTTCGGACCCTCGGTGCGGTATTCGACAGAGGTTCCCCCTTGGTCTGGCGGCCTTCCCTTTTCGGCAGTCTCGGTGACTCGGCGCCATACTGCGGCGGCGTCGTCGTCGGTTTTGAGCAGAAGCTCGGCCAACTCGTCAATATAATTGTCGAGCTCCATATTAACGATTGACTGTCCCGAGTGCTTGATCCTCTCCGCTTTTATAGTCGTTAGGCTCGAAATTACGGCTTGATTCGGGGAGATCGGTCAATCTTCTGGTTGGTCGATGTTCGTTACCTGTTGTTGGGAACGTGATCGTGTTGATTTCTCGGTCTTTGTTATCCGGTGCGGCGCGCATGTCGTGCACGTGTATGTTTTTATAAATGCGGCCTCGTTCGTCTTTCAAATCGACGATTACCGGAGAATGTATTTTCTTTACGGTGAACGGTCCGCTATATTTTGGCGCAAGTTTGGCGTTGAAGGCCTTCGTCTTGTCGGATTGAAGGTGTTCCCTTTTCCACACTGTTTCTCCGAGTTGTGGGCGCCATGCTCTTCTCCGTAAATTGTAATGAGATTCCTGTCGTTGAAATGCTTGGGCGAGATGCATTTTTACGAGCTCGTGTGTTTCGGTCAATACTTTTGCCACGGTGGAGGGTGGCGGAATGGGAGGTTTGTCCCTTCGGTCTTCTTGGTGTGGTCGGGCCAGTTCTCGGCCGTGATTCAGGAACGCTGGGCTGAATCGGGTAGCGTCATGTTGGGCGGTATTAAACGCGAATCGGAGGGCGCCCAAGTGTTCGTCCCAGCGGCGATGCTTTTTATCGATATATTGGGCGATCATTGTTTTTATGGTGCGATTGGTACGCTCCACGGGATTGCACTGTGGGGTGTAGATAGGCATGGTGCGGTGGCGGATGCCGAAATTTTTGCACATCTCCTGGAATTCCTTTGCACCGAACTGTGGGCCGTTGTCGGAGATAATGGTGTCCGGGCATCCGTGTCGATAAATAATGTCGAAATGGTGTCGATGATGTGGGTCACGATTACTGGGGCCGTTGCCACTCGAAGTGCTTTGACTTCCAGCCATTTGGTGAAGCGGTCCTGCATGGTAAGTAACCACGTGTGTCCTTGACGAGATCGTGGCAAGGGTCCCACCAAGTCGATGGCCACCTATTCCCAGGGGTGCTTCACTGCCGTGGCGTGGAGTAGACCGGATGGCTTCTGTTGTCCGGCTTTGTGTGCTAAACAGGTGGGGCATTTTCGGACATACTGGGCGATATCGCGGGCCATGCCGGGCCAGTAGTAATGTTCGCCGATGCGTATGATGGTTTTGGCGATGCCAAGATGTCCGGCAGCGGGATCGTCGTGCATTCGTTTGAGCGTTAATGTTCTTTCGGTTGTGGGTAGGCATCTCTTCCATTGTGCGGCGGTTGGAACTTCCCGGAAGTCGAGATTATGTAGAAAATGTCGGAACACGTGGCCGTCTCGCAGGTCGTAGTCAGGATGTGCGTCTGGGTGTGCTATTACTTGTGCCTTGAGGTTCTCGTACCAGGAACAGGTCGGACGGCCGGTGATAACAGCCACTTCAGGTTCTCGGGACAGGGCATCGGCTACCTGATTACTGGATACGCGTCGGTAGCGGATCTCGAAGTCGTATTGTTGGAGTTCGAACTTCCAACGTCCGAGTCGGCCGGTCGGTGATTCAATTTTCTGAAGCCATTTCAGCGACTGGTGGTCGGTGAGGACGGTGAACGTGTACCCTTCGAGGTATTCGCGCATCTTGCGGATGCCCCAGACCACGGCCAGGCATTCTAGTTCGGTGGTGCTATAATTCCTTTCGGCATTGTTCAGGGTTCGACTGGCGTAGGCGACGACCTTTTCTCCCTCTGCAGTCTCCTGGGTCAGCACGGCTCCCAGGCCGGACTGGCTGGCGTCGGTTTGGAGAGTGAATCGTCGTGCGAAATCTGGACAGGTCAGCACTGGTGCGGTAATGAGAGCGTCTTTCAGCCGTTGGAATGCGTCGGCCTCCTCGTCGTGCCACCTCCATCGTTCTTTTTTCTTGGTCAGCCGCGTGAGCGGTGCTGCGAGCCGGGAGAAATTCGGTACGAATCGGCGGTACCACGATGCTAGGCCTAGGAATTGTCGCACTTTCTTTACGTTGGTGGGTGTGGGCCATGCGGCAATAGCGCTGGTTTTCCCAGGGTCGGTGTGGATGCCTTCCTTGTTGATCAGATGACCGAGGTATTTTATTTGGGTGCAGCAAAACTGGCATTTTTCGATGTTAAGTCGCAGCCGGGCCCCCCGGAGGCGACGAAACACTTCGCGTAAATGAGTGAGATGTTCCTGGAAGGTGTCACTCAGCACGATGATGTCATCGAGGTACACCAATACGTTAGGTTCGAGGTCCGGGCCGAGGACGGTATCGACCAATCGCTGGAAGGTGGCGGGGGCAGAGTGCAGTCCGAATGGCAGTACCCTGAACTGCATGAGTCCGCGCCCGGGTACCGTGAAAGCCGTGATCCCCTTGCTGTTTGGTGTGAGCGGTACTTGCCAGTACCCGTTCTTTAAATCTAAGGTGGACAGATATTTGGCCCCTCGCAGTTTATCCAGGGTAGCCGTGATTTGGGGCAACGGGTATGCATCCCTTTCGGTAACCTCGTTGACTTTCCGAAAGTCAATGCAAAATCGATAACCGCCGTCCTTCTTTCTCACGAGTACCACAGTGGAGCTCCAGGCACTGCTGGATGGCTCAATCACCCCGTCCTCTTCCATCTGTTGTACTTCCTCGTCAATGATGCGTTGCATAGCCGGATTCCGGGGTCGGTATCGCTGCTTGATCGGCGCGGTCCCCCGGCGTAACCGAATTTCGTGCTGGATAGCGGGGGTCGGTCCGGAGACGGTGTTGAATTTTCCTAGTTCCGACCGCAGAAAAATTTGTAGCTGCTCGTCGTCGGTTGTGGCGACTGGTCGTCTGAACGCCTCGACTACCCCAATTGTACGGGTGTGGTCGGCAGTAGGTAGGGCCGGAGATCGTAGAGTTAGACCGAGGCGTGACCACAAATCCATGCCGATAATAATTGGCGTGGTCAATTTTTCCATGATCGTAAAGCGGTGATGGAACTGTTATGTTCCTACCCAAAATATTAGATGGGTGGACCCGCAGGTGGCAACCTGGGTGCCGTTGGCTAAGGTTACCCATGAGCTGGGTCCGAGAGGTTGATCCTCGGGCCTCAAACTTTCGGCGCTTACCAGGGAGGTTTCTGCTCCAGAGTCAATTAGTGCCCTAAAAGGGCGCTTTTGGTAGCGCACGGTTATACTGGGGCGCGGCGTGTACGTTATGCGTGGGACCGGGGAGTGTCCGCTCCGTCCTCGGTCACGCCCGCGTTTCCCGGTGGCGGATGGCACTGCTTTGTGAGCACCCCCTCTTTTCCGCATCGCGAGCAGAACTTGATGGCGGGTTGATCGCATACCTGTCGCTGGTGTCCGGGCTGTTTGCACCGCCAGCAACATGCCTCGCGATCGTATGCCATAGTGGCTACGGTGGGTCCGCTTAACCGTGGGGGTTTCCCCTGGACGCGTTGCTGTCGGGTCAGCTCCTCGTATTTGCGGGCTAACCGGCCGAGGTCCCTGATATCCCGTGCCTCATAGGCTCCGAGGAACATTTTATAGCCCGGGTCCAGATTATCGTACAGACGGCCCAGAATATTATTCATCTCGTCATCGTCGCCACTGCGTCGCCACTGCGTCGGATCAAGGTGAGTAGCGCATTTTCGTACTCTCGATACGATTCGTGGGGCCGTTGTCGACGTTCGACGATTTGGCGTCGCATTTCCTCGCGGTATCGAGGCGGTAAATAATGCTCACGGAAAGCAGTACAGAAATCGTCCCAGTTGTGCCAGCCAGGACGATGGTTCCGATACCAGAGTAGCGGTTCTCCCCGCAGCATCTCTGGAATTCCCCAAAACAGCTGTCTGGTAGTAAGCCCATAGCAGACGCGGAGCTCATCAATCCGTTCTAAAAAGTTAAGCGGGTCCTTCCCTGTAAACTTGCAATCCCACTTATTTATTTCGTGGATTGCCTCTGCGTCGGTAGGGGCTTTGTTCGCAGGATCCCATCCTGGTATCTGTTCGTCCTCCGTGCTGGCGGCACTGGGTATATGGAGGGGGCTAAGCACCCGTCGGTCGGTAGCTTGGGTGAGGAATAATCCGGGATTCTCGGTCACGAAACGGCGAAGACGTCGTCGGAGGTCATCGATAGTGCCGCTTGTATCCAGTCCATACTGGCCGAGTCGGTGACCAATTTCCGCCTTATTGAGCTCTTGTATCCAGGCTCTTGGGGCGGTACTCATCTTGAGTCCAGTTTATTCTTGTCTCCACTTATCGGGTAACACACACCTTCCCTTTAGCTGCCGGATCCTGGCAGGATCGCCATGTAACGGTCGCGCCTCTAGGCTCGGTTTTTTTCCGGGTTGATCCGGCCCTGTGGATTGGATCGTTGGTTGCGAGCCGACCACAGGAAAGATTTTTAGGTGAAGGTGTGTGTGTGGTGTGTGCGTGTCAATAAGAGAAGACAAAACAAGTATAACACAATATGCTTTTATTTGCCCGTCACGACCGCGTGCCGTGACGCGACGTCCCAATGTTTGGGTGTTAGGTGATTGCGTGAATTGTTTCCGCGGACGCTACGAGCCCCGCGGAGTCACAGTGGTAGGTGAGCGATTTGCTTGAGGCGTATTTATGTAATTATCTCGGACGGCGCTTGACTCGCACAGACGATGAGGGTCGAGCCACCGATTAGTGATCGCGCGGTGTGCGCCCCGAGCCTATAATATGCGCGGTGGGTGTTTTCGCCGTGAGTTAAAGCGCGAGTTTGGGTGATTCGGCACGCGACTTGATGATGGGTCGCAAAAAAAACGGTACAAGAACGCGTCGCGACACGTCGCGCTCGCTTTTGTCCTCGGCCGCAGTGTCGAGCGCCCTGGTGGTAGAGGGGTGCGGGCGACGGGAGTATTCCTCGCGTGCTGGGCCGACGCGCCAAATCCTAGCTGATCAGCTCTTGCCTTCCCGGTGTCCTATTTGATGAAATTAAGAAAGAGATAACGTGAGATCGTTCCGGAGAACGCACCGGAGTGACGGCAAACTCGCCGCGCGATCTCACTATCGCAAAGAACCGGCACAGAATAAGATCGTTCCGGTGAACACACCGGAGCGACGGCAAACTCGCCGTCCGATCCTTTATATCGCAAAGACGGCACAAAATAAAATCGTTCCGGTGAACATACCGGAGCGACGGCAAACTCGCCGTCCGATCTTTTATATCGCAAAGACGGCACAAAATAAGATCGTTCCGGTGAACACACCGGAGCGACGGCAAACTCGCCGTCCGATCCTTTATATCGCAAAGACGGCACAAAATAAGATCGTTCCGGTGAACACACCGGAGCGACGGCAAACTCGCCGTCCGATCCTTTATATCGTAAAGACAGCACAAAATAAGATCGTTCCGGTGAACACACCGGAGCGACGGCAAACTCGCCGTCCGATCCTTTATATCGCAAAGACGGCACAAAATAAGATCGTTCCGGTGAACACACCGGAGCGACGGCAAACTCGCCGTCCGATCCCTATATCGCAAAGAACAGGTATTATTAATCACCGTCGTGGACGGCCTGGTAACTAACTTACGAATTTCGGCAGGAGCTTCTCGGTTGATCCTCTCTCGGAAAGAACTATCTGCGGAGACGGAACTCTGGAGACTTCCCCTTCGTCAAAATCTGCCGGGATTATATACCCGAGATTTTGGGGCTTCGGTTTTCTTCGCCCTTAATCGGAGTTAATTCCGTTTTTTAATCGGAATTAATCGTGATTATGCGGCGTCTGCCGAAGATAACTTCGGCGGTGCCGCTAGCTCGGTTCGGCGGCCGACCGTGCCTGAGCGTCGTTGCCTGGTAGTCGGGCATGTTCGGCCGAGCGCGATGCCTAGGCGCGGTGTCAGCGCGGGTCGGGGGGTGTTGCGCTCAGCTGATTGCCGCGTGCTGTTAGGCGGCAGTCAGCGTAACGGCGCAAAGATTTTTGTGTCGTTACACTC